GAAGTATAAAACTTGTCATTAATATACATTAAAAATACATTTACTTACAGTAAATATGCCCCTAGGTGCATTTTTTTGGTCTGGGTGCATTTTCAAGAAGTACATACCCAAAGTTGAGCAAAAAAACCTTTAAAAAGTGAATTTTGCATAATAGGTCCCCTTTAAAAAACATGAAGACATTTTTGAAAGGCACCATTACAGCTACTGCCAAGGATAAATTTTGTAATAATCTAAGGTGACTAAATGAACTATAAACTTTATAAGAAGTGTAAACAAATCAAAAAGATTACAGCTACTGCCAGTGGCTCACCATAGTAACCACACCCTTGTGTCTGTCACTCCTTGATAGTACTCTTAAAAAATAATCAGAAAGAAACACAGACTAAGAATTAAGGCTCAAACAAATAATCACTGTGTCAGAAAGATGAGATGTATTGAAAACAAATCCCTGAACTGTATGATTGTTATAGACACATTTAGATGAGGCGTTAAAAAACACTTGACTTTCTTTTTTAAAAAACATCTCTGAGCTCAGATTCAGTGGAAGTCAATGAATGTTTGGATGCGTGTACTTTATCCTATAACAAAAGCATATAATGGGTATATAATTAAAGACAAAAATGCATATGTGTTTATGCATAAATTGCATAAGAAGTGTAATTGTTTCAGAAATAATAAGACTGTAGGGTATGACTGAACTACAGAGCTTCAAAAAGGGGTGTTTTTTCTGTTAAAATGCTATTGTTATCTATGAGAATGTTTTTTAGGTATTTTTATTTTTTAACAGTTTCTGTCCACACCATAAGATGTACTGATACTAACAGTCATAACACATCAAACTGTACACCGTTCTATATTTTTTTGACTCTAGAGTGATGTAAAAGAGCCATAAGGGTGCATTAATGGTTCTACACTAGTACCCTTGTAGTTTAATTGATTTAAAATAAAAGTTAATTCTAAAATAACTTTAAAAATTACAAGAGAGGATTACACAAATAAATTTATCTATATCTATATCTATCTATTTATCTATATAAATTATTTTTTTTAAAGAAATGTATAAATAAATAAAGTTTGAAAATAAAATTTCTACTGAGTGGTTGTTTAGTGGTTTCATTGTTCCTGTTACCGTGATGACGTCTCCTGCTTTGATGTTGAGGCTCGTCAGGTCGTAGTTGTTGCAGTAGTCCTTCAGAGCCCGAACCTGCAGGGCCGCTGAAGCGTCTGTCAGCAGGACACAAAAACAWGATACTTTGAATGTGCAGAAATATTTCTGATTATACTAACTGAGAAAAAAAAAAGAAGAAGAAGCATGCGGGGTGTACAGATGCCCACAGGTACAATGACAACATCCACACAGAACCCTGTGACATCAGGACACAGGTGTTGGGCTTTTCTTGACTACTGGCACCAGCCTGACTGTCAGTTTATTGAACAGCAGTGTTTACAGTAGTGCCAGAACCAGGAGGCATGGACTAATAATGAGTAGTGTCATATCATATAACTTATGGCTGCTGTGAGTGCACATGTCAGCGCCAAGGGGAATGGCCCAATCCTGATAAAGTTGTGGAGAGACACAGGYGTCACATTGTGGAGTGGGGAGCAAAAGGATCTGACTTCAGGTAGTGATTCTGGAGACCCTGATGGGTCAGTGGCATCCTGTGTGTCCCCCCCCCACCCCCCAACAAGACAGCACCTGTCCAAGCATGTGTGTCTCTGAACTTTGTGTGTTGAGGTCTTCTCGTCACCAGCTAGTTTGTCTGATCTATCTTCATTTAAACATGTTGGATCAGCTCAAACTTTRACTAATACCCAGAGCTGATCTATCAGATCTCTAGGGTCTCCAGGGTTTTACAACAACTGAGAGCCGTCTTGCTGTAGGAGAGGAGACAATGGTTGTATAATTCTTTTCTGCAGCAAACTGCTTCTGTATCCAGTGCTGACAGAGAGGAGAGGTAGGGGTGTGTGTGTGTGTGTGTGTGTGTGTGTGTGTGTGTGTGTGTGTGTGTGTGTGTGTGTGTGTGTGTGTGTGTGTGTGTGTGTG